ATCCCCACCTGTCTTAGCTGAATTGCCTCTCTAGCATCTTCTGTGCTACACCCAAGCTCGTAGCTTACTGCTGCCAAGTCTCTGCCTGCTACTAGCACGTCCTTACTAAGTCAACCTCTGCCACCAGTGCCTAGCACAGAATTTGGCACAAAGAAAAGACCAAGTAAATGTTTGATAGAATGGAGTGAAACTTTTGTGTAGTAGTTATTTATTCTCAGCTGATTTCCATAGTCACCAACCTCCCTACTACCCGGTGCCACCCTCAAGAGGACACTTATGAGCAGAGGAGGTCCCCAGGGCTGAAGACTCCATCAAATCCTGTGATGAAGAGTTTCTTTGGCCAAGAGATCTAGCATTTAACTGATTGGTGACCTTGGTCCAACAATTCGGAGTCTGTTTTCCTCCCATCTACATCTCAGAGCTGCTGCAAAGACCAAGCTATGGAATAAACATCCTTCCAAAGAGCCATGTTGGCTTGTCACTGTATATGTTAGTCTAAAGTTTGGGTATGAAATAACATCACTCAGCGAGCTCCTTACAGCAGATTTCTAGGCTCAACCCCAGAACTTCTGATGTAGTAGGTCGGGGGACAGATCTGAGAATGTGCATTTCTAACAAGTTCCCAGGGGAATACTTGTCTTAATTCATTTGGGTTGCAGTAACGGAATACCATAGACTGGGTAGCTTTTAAACAACAGAAATTTACCTTTTATAGTTCTGGGGGCTGGAAAGTCCAATAGCAAGGTGCCAGCAGATTAAGCGTCTAGTGAGGGTCCATTTCCTGGATCCTCACATGGTGGAAGACATGAAGGAGCTCTCTGGGGCCTCTTTTATAAGGGCATTGATCTCTTTCATCAGTGTTCTGCCCTGATGACATCATCAGCACCCACATGTGCCACCTCCTAATATCATCATTTCGAGGATTAGAATTTCAACATACGAATTTTAAAGGAACATACATATTCAGTCTATAACAATACTGATGCTGCTGGTCCAGGGACCACACTTTGAGAACTACTGCCCTAGATGATTCTGAGACCATTACTCTTTCCATGCTGATGCTGTCTTTCCTACATGAAGCATGCTATTTCAATGCTTGCCTTTATGTTTTACCTTTTTCGCTGTTTTGTTGGAATCTTAACCCAGCATCTAAATTCCTCTGGGCAAAAATTATACCTTCCACTCTACATACTCTCTCACTTTCTGTTTTGTAAAATAATAAGTACATTTCCAGTGTGATTAATAATAGAATAGGAAAAGGAGGAAAATCTCAGACTATCAATGCCAATAAACAACACCTACAAATAGGTATCAGCCCTGGAATTCTCTTAAAAATTAATTACCAGGCAAAAAACATTCCACCATCAGTGGTGATATGGGAAGGAAGATTATCTTCTTGATGACACATTTTGTAAAATGTGGATTATTCAAGATTTTAGCTGTAACTTAAACACCAACGTTTGTTAAAAATAAAATACCACAATTGCATTTCAACTCATAATTTTTATACTGATAGCCAGACTATTGTGTTTTCAACAAGTAAAATCCATTACACAGTCATGGCAACAGTTTGCAATAGATTGTAAATTTTTATTGAGATGATCATCTTGCGATTGAATTTCAAAATGTATTATATGATCATCAGCAAATAAGTCCACGGGGGCTGCTAAAGTACTTTGAATATCATTTATAAAGATCAAAAACCCTGGAAACTCTTACATTTACCCTGTGGAAAGAGAGAAGTCTCATCAGTAGGATCAAATCAATTATTTTTATGGATGAATATTGCATTGCAAAGCTGAGATAAGGCATTACCCAGTTTAATAACATATCATTATATCCTTTGAAAGTAGTAAGTTTCATAATCAGGTTTCAATGAGGAATTTTACCAAAGGCCTGTTTTGAAAATAATCAAGAAAATGGCATCTCTGTTCAGCATAGTGGTTGAATAACCTTACAAGGAATATTTTCAAGCAACGAAAATACCTGGGTTACATACTACCACAATACATCACTGAGATACTTAAGAACAGTTACAGCCAATTCCACTATAACTCTTGTTTTGAAAATGCAAATTTGTTCCAACATAATTAATATATGAAAGGGCAATTTGAGAATAACACGAATTCTGCATTTGCTTATGTGTGATTTTGTATGTGAGAAACATTAGTGAAGAAGAAACCTGCACCCAGCAGAACTGAGCCACCTAGGAATACAAGCACACACACAGTTCCAACCCTTACCTGCCCCCTCAGCTCACTACCTGTGTTCTGAGCTACACCTTTTCCCCCAGTTTCAGACAGCTTTCCTTCCACCACTTCATAGTCACTCACAGGCTGTAACCTCCCTGATGCCCACTTCCACAGCAAACTTCAGGTCTTTTTCAAGGTAACACACCATCTGTGTTGAGTATCCTTTATCCAAAATGCTTGGGACCAGAAGTGTTTCAGATTTCAGATTTTCTTGAATTTCAGAATATTTGCCTATACCTACTAAGATATCTTGGGGATGGGACTCAAGTCCAAACACAAAATTCATTTATGTTTTATATATATATATCATAGGCAATCTTATATAATATTTTAAATAATGTTGTACATGAACCGAGTTTGTGTACATCGAACCGTCAGAAAGCAGAGATGTAACTATCTTAGCCACTTAAGTGGACAATTCTGTGCTTGTCTGTCATCACCATAATTCCTGACTTTGAATGTATATGCTATTGATAAGAAATCATCTTCTTATGCTTATTCACACATAAGTGCTTAACAGTAAAAAAGAATAAGTGATATATCATTAATACCATAAAAAATTAATGTGTTCAGGTTAACTGAGCAGCACATTAGCCTCAGCAGATACCTGGATCAGCTGTTGAACGTCAGCAACAAACATCCTGGCTTTCAGTCCTCTCCCTGTGATGTTGTGCTTTGATGAAGAGTTCGTACACCCTGCATTTTATTGTTTTAGATGAGAACAAACATCAGAAGCAGGTGAGGAACCAGGAAGTGGATCCTCTAGGGAGAAAGAGGCATTCTGCTCGATGGCTTTTAAAAATGTTTCCTCCAGAGTCATCTGCCTTGTTAACAAGGATTTTTGTCTTAGATGTCTCTGATTTTATAAATTGACAAGGTTTCCTGTTCTGCTATGAATGCATACTGCTCCAGTCCTTCAATAAGCTCATCACCAATGCTTGCCGTGTCATCTACAGGCACTTTTTCTGCAGTGTTAACAATGTTATTTTCATTTGTTGTATCGTGTTGGCACTCAGTAAGTTTCAAATTTTGGAGCATTTTGGATTTCCGAGGTTCAGCTTAGGAATACTCCACCTGGATGGATGCACTTCTTGGCCATTTCACATGCATAAAATTGTGCCGCAAGTTTTACTAGATTCCCCTCTTTTTTGATGTGTCACTAGGGAAGTATGGCCCTCCAGCCCCATTTTTTCCATAATCCCTGTGGTTTTTATTTCATAACTTGATATACTGTGGTGATTTTTAAGGACCTATATATCAGGTTATGGCAAAACTGTACGCACTTTCCCTTGCTGTTTGTTCCATGGTTCCTGTAATGATGGTTCCTTCCCCTCCACCCAGATGCCCCCAGTGACTCCTTTTTGTTTTCTGAAACCCATGCTGCCTGCTTTCCTGAACCACACCCGCTTCCACTAGAACATCCCCAGCTGTATATACAATGCTCTTCTCTCTCTCTCTCTCTTTATTCATCATGATGTGGCCAAAAATCAAAGGCTGAGAATCAGAAAATCTAAGTGTAATTGATGACCGTGCTACTGGCCATTCTATGACTTTAGACAAAGAGTTTAAAAGCACTGAGTCTCTTTTCCTTTGTGTATACATGAAATGTAAGTTCGTACAGCAAAAGGTTACTTGGAGTGAAAAAAAGATATAAATAAGGTAATTTGCAACAAATAAACTGCAAGTTCTTTTAATTTCTTGAGTTGCATCCAGAGCCAGACCATCTCAGATACAGTGAGACACACATTGTTAGCCAATAGCCCCTGATTAGAAATGCAGTAGAAGCCAGGAGACCTGGGACACAGTTGGATCCAGAGAATCTCTCCTCTTAGACACAATCTCCGCCAGCAAACTCTTACATGGCATCCAGAAATATCAGAGAGACAGGTGTAGTCAGCAGCCCACAGAGATAGAGTGGAATCCAGAGGACCCTCAGAGGAATAGTCCCAACCCAGACTCTTAGGTAGGGATAGGAGCCTCCAGGGGCTACAGAGGCAGGAAGCTCTTAGGGATTAAGGCAGTTCCAGAAACAATTCAGAGATACTGTGAGAGCCAGGAGGCATTTAAGACATGGTTGGCAACAGAAGCCCCTCGGAGACAACTCTAGAATTAGGAACCATCAAGAAAATTGTCAAAACCAAGAGTCACAGGCCCAGCTCAGGGAGCCTCAGGAACAATGTTAGAATTAGAAACACATTAAAGATACAACCAAAACCAGAAGACTGCAAGGACATAGTCTAAATGAAGCCTTCAGGGTGCATAGTCAGAGCCAGGAGCCCTCAGAGACACAACCAGAGCCAGAAGCCCTCAGAGAAACAGCGCCAAGAACCCTCAGAGAAACACGGCCAGGGCCCTGAGAGACACAAAACCAAGAGCCCTCAAAGACATTCTTAGCATTAGAAAGCCTCAGACATATAAATGGCACCAGCAGTTCTGGGAGACACAGAGCCAGTGTGTCTCATCAGAAACACTATTAGATCCAGGAACCTCCCATGACCCAGCTAAAGTCAGGAGGTTCTCAGAATCACAGTCAGAACTAGAAAGCCCCCAGAAATGCAACCACAGCCAGCAGGTCCTCTAAAAAAAAAGAAGAAAACCAAAACCTTGATCCTTTTTTATCCACAATAGGAAGCACATTCACATTCAAAGAAAATTAGGAATTATTTGTCACAGGAAGGTAAGAGGAAGGCCAGTCTTGGCAACAGCATGGCCTCTCATAATGGAGCCTGGAAAAAAAAAAAATCTTACCTGCACACTTGGTCCTGGTGGTGAGGGGAGGCCCTGGCGGTCCGGTACCCCCCTCACCTGGTCGTGTGAGGAGCACTCGGATCTCATACTCAACGTCGGGGTCCAGATGCCACAGCTTGTAGTTGGGAGAGTCGACTATGTGGGTCTCCGCCCAGGTGCCTGTGGTAGTGCGATATTCCACTTCCTTCAGGATGATGGGGCCATCCCCGATGATGGAGTTGGCATTTGGCTTGATCCACAGGTATGTGGCCCCCACAGCCAGCAGCTCTGGGGGAGCAATGGGCGTGGGAGGCTCTGTAAGACAAGCAATCAACAAAGGACTGTCAGACTCAAATGATTTACAGAGCAGACTCCGAGCACATGATGACAAGGCATAGAATCCACAACATAGCCACAAAAAATTGTCAGAAAACCCTTTGGATTTTATTTTATTTTATTATTTTTATTTTATTTTTTTGAGATGGAGTCTTGCTCTGTCATTCAGAATGGAGTGCAATGGGGCCATCTCAGCTCACTGCAACCTCTGCCTCCCTGATTCAAGCAATTCTCGTGCCTCAGCCTCCCAAGTAGCTGGGATTATAGGCGCCTGCCACCACAGCTGGTTAATTTTTGTATTTTTAGTGCAGATAGGGTTTTACCATGTTGGCCAGGCTGGGTCTTGAACTCCTGACTTCAGGTGATTCACTCACCTCAGCCTCCCAAAGTGCTGGGATTACAGGCATGAGCCACCACGCCCGGCCTGAAAACCCTTTTTAAATCCCATTCATGCCCTACTTTAAGGGTTTGCATGTAAGTACCTGAATCAGTATTTCTTCAGTAGCTATATTCAACACCTACCTTATCTCCTTTATTTAAAGGCACGAAAGAAAGAAGGCCATGTGAGGAAATGGTTTTCCCAGAACACAGCAAAGCTGCTGGGTGAATACTCTGTTTTCTAGCCTCAAAGGAAAACCTACTTTTGCTGAAGTGAAGTTTGGCACAAAACCCAGGGGAGCCTAAGGTCTACAAACATTTCTTACACAGAACACATAGATTGTTAGTGGAAGTTCTTTCCAAAGGGTGATAAGAGCCTAAGTAGAAAAGGAATGATGGCACAGCAAGAATTCAGCTTCTGCCTCAACCCCAGCAGGTTTCTTCCAGCAGAGAAAGTCATGGGTCACAGCAGACTCAGCAGGAATGAGGGGTCAAAGGAAGAGTCATGCTGAGTTTTCTTGCATCTGCTCTGTGCTGCCACCTCTCTTCCACTGAGTTCCACACAGTCAGCTAAGTAGACTAAAGGTTCAGCAGGCATGAATTGTGGACTCTTCCTCGCAATTATTAGCCCATGGCAAAGCTACAAAAATTAATGCTTATCTTGTACTTCTTACGTACTTTAAAATCTCACACATATCATTTCATGTAATTCTTGGGACAATATCATCACCTTCACTTTAATGGAGAAAAACAAAACAAAGCAAAACAAAACAGAGAACCTAAGAAATCAGGTCACCTAACCAAGGTCATGGAGAAGGTAGCGTAAGATGCAACTTACATCTGCATGACTTCCTGGACCAACCTGCACCAAGGAAGGCTGTCTGCCTCTTAATATTCATCTTTAAAAACATGGAACTGAATATACTGGTTATTTTTATTTGTAGTAAAAATGGCAGAACAATAAAGAAAACAGAAGAAAGAGAAAATATGAGAAGAAATGGAAGAAAATGGAGAAAAATGGAAGAAAGAAAATATCTCTACCATCCAACATAGCCATTTTTATTCCTCCATGTTCCATTACAATGTTTATTTATGTACTGACACATTTTTTTGTGTGGTTATAATAACACATAGACCCAAGGTAGATTCATTTTTCTTCCTTCACTTATATTGTAAGGATTTTTTTTTTTTGCATACACTGCTCGAGCTTTATCATCACTGCCTTTAATATTTATAGAATAATCCATCAGGTTACCACACTAAGCATTCGCTGATTGCTGGATACGTGAGTTGTTAATGTTTTGCTAGGATAAATAATGCTACAATGAACATCTTTGTGCAAATGACCTCAGTCTGTCTTATCTTATGTTTTCTTAGGACCAAGGATATGAACAAGAGGAAACAAAGAGTAGAACAAGGAAGAGGAGAAAGGGGAGGCACAGAGGAGGCACATGAGGGTGGAATACAATGTGCATTTGTTTGAGAACATCTCACTTGTAGAGGGCCTCTGGTTTATTCGCATGGATAGAAGGCAGGTATACATTTTAGCTTGGAACTCAGGTAAGGGCTTTGAGATAGAGACGCACTCAGCACTTCCCTTCTAATTAATTACCTAGAAGCAAAGATTCTCTAGAAACAGAATAATTGCTAGGAAACAGAGGTGGACAATATTTTCTCAGTGTGACTCGAAGCAAATCTTAAGGGACAACTCCAGATTGCCTCTATTATAGCCTGCCGTTTGGTCAGAGAAGGAAATTAAGCAGATTAGTCAAGCTAGATGCTTTTCTTTACAAAGCCATGGAGGTTATTACTCAAGACCTTGTTATCTCAAAGGTGTTTGCAAATTGATTTTTGGATAATTTGTTGCAGGTAGAGAAGTTAGGTTGGCAGGCAGATAATTTCTGAGCTCATCCTTTGTGCATGTTAAATATATGGACCCTTTGATTGTCATTATCAACTCTCCAGAGCTCCCATCAGTCTCCAGAGAAGCCCCAGGGGTGATCTTTTGCAGCTCTCTGATGACTCTGCCCAATTCCTTAACATAATTATTCACAGACTAGACCTCTATAGAATTAAGAGCAGCAGACTTCAACAGTTTGGGTGCTGAGGGAGTGGCCCCATTTAGTTCTTTTCCATCGACTTTTCACCATGGTTTTCTGCTCTCCTATTTCAGACAGCAGTATTCAATTGCTGATCACCAGAAAGAAAATAAAGTATTAAATCTTTCCAAATGGTTAGCTTCTTTTCATGTATTTCTAATGGCATGTGCAAGTATAGTAACAAACATCCCCTTGAGTATATAAACGTCCCTATCTCAAATGATTTGCGACTTCACACATTTGTGTGCAGATTAGCCACGTGGTTACCTCTCCGTCCATCCCCTCAAGAATAGACCACGTAAGTTTAATCACAGTGTTTCCTCTATGTGGCACCAGGGAAGCCATCAGATTATTGTGTGCTTTATTCTTTTCTTTTTTAGTGATCAACTGATTTATAATTGGCATTGTTTAGAAGGCACAGGTACTGGTGGTTCAAAGAGACAGAAGCAAAAATATAGCACAGAATGATTTTTTTGGTAAGTAGCACATTATTTTACAAATACATAGAAAAAGCCTATTCTATTTATATCAGTTCTCTAAGATGAACTCTTCAAGAAGACAGTATAGGAAATGTACAGGGCCATCCAGTCCAATGGCCAGAGTCATCAGGAAGGAAAAGGAAACCCCCGTGTAACTCATTTGCCAGACAGAGCACTGTGCGCATGAAATCTAGTGCAGCCAAGTAAATCAGTGATAACGAAGTGTAATAAAGTCATGATGGGGGTGGCGGAGGCATTTCTGAAGCCTGTGAAATGACCTAATCTGGTCTAGAGGTTAGGGAAGCTCTTGCAGACAGCGCTTAGGGGAGTGTTCTGCTGGGACTGCTCATGTTGAGTCTATGAACAAAGAAAAATTCCTGGGGGTCTCCTAGTTCTGAGTTACTCGGGCTAGACTGGTAAACAATTAAAACGATGTTCCCTGTACATTCATTCATTCACTCATTCTATGAATGTCGAGTCCCTGCTGCTGGTCACACACTGTCCCAGGCGCAGACACAGTCTTGGCTGCATGGAGCTCACCTTCCAGCCCTCACTGGAGGATTGACACAAAGAAGTCAGGAGAGAAGGAAGCTGACTCAGAAGATGTTGAGAAGGAGGGCATCCGAGAATGGAGAGGCCCTGGGAGCCAGACCTAGGTAGGAGCTTATGGATCCATAAAGCGATACACATATACAAAATGGATTACTGCTCAGTGAGAAGAAATGAACCAGCTGCAGATGCAGACACACACAGCAACATGAGTAAATCTCAAAAAAAAAATTCATGCAAAAGAAAAATAAAAGAAGAATGCATGATGACCCCACTTATGTGAAAAGTTCAAGAACAAGCAAAACTGCACTATGGTGATAAAAGCCAGAAGCATAGTTACCTAGCAGGCAGGTACTGTCTGGGACAGAGCCTGAGGGAAGTTTCTGGGATGTTAGAATGTTCTCTATATGCTGATTTGGGTAATTAAATAATAGAAATCAGAACAGTGTTACTATAAGGGACATGACTGCCTGAAAGAAGGCATGAGAAAAATTTGGGAGGTTATAACCATTTCTGTATCTTAACCAGGGTTATGTAAGACTCATTAAACTGTGAACTTAAAACATAGGTATTTTTATGTATATAAGTGATACCTTAGAAGTTAAAAAAAAAAATCACAAAAATATGGATATGTGACTCACTAGGTGAAGAGAATGCCACTAATTACTTGAAACTGAACCCCAGAAAGTTGGGAGAAAATTAGCCTTTACTTCTATACCATTCCCTCCTATCAGCACCATCAGATGCTTGAATTCCTAATAGTTTTCCTAACAAGAGGTTGTTCAGGCACACACCAGTTTCTTATTCATGAGCCTTTTCACATCTAACGCAACCAACGCCCTCTCCTTACCAGACTCCACAGCATCATCTGTGCAAAGCCAGGAGTAAGTAACATCTGATGGCACCCTCTGTTCATGAAGTTTGCAACCAGACTAAGGAGGAGGAAGTCTTGCCTTCAGGGAGCTGAGGCCTGAGCTGGGTGATGACATCAGTGCCTTCCAGCCAGGCATCAAAGCACTGCAAGGACAAGGATTCCAGGAGCCATCCATGAGGCCTGGGCAGCAGCAGCTCTGAGCTTCCAAGGCTCTCCTTCAACATGTAGATGGTGAAGTGACCTCTTCATATAATTCTGCCTCATCCTCAGGCAGCAATCTCCAGAACAATTCTGTCTTTCTTTTCCCTGCTGTGAGCACTTGTAACAGTTTGACTCCCCAGAAATTCCCACAGAGAGCAAAAGTGTTTCAAATAGCTGGAGACAGAGCTGTGCGCATGTATTGTCTGCTCCAGACAGAAATCAAACATTTTGAGAAAAACCAAATGTTACTAAGATGTGAAGTGAGCCTTGATATGATTAAGGTGAGCATAACCTGGCCTCCAACACTTTCCACCACATGCCTCACGCTACCTGATCACCGTTTTAATTGCATTTCTATTCACTGACCCTCTAGGTCTGTGGGAATGCCTCCACCCACCC